ATGGGCAATATACAGTGCTATGGTTGTCATTGCGTTAACAGACTGGAGACCACACAAATGTTACTGCAAACATTATGGGCAATATACAGTGCTATGGTTGTCATTGTGTTAACAGATTAGACTACACAAATGTTACTGCAAACATTATGAGCAATATACAGAGCTATGGTTGTCATTGTGTTAACAGTATGCAGATGACTGTACATTGACTTCAAACCGAATACTAAAGCTGCAGATCAGATTTGTTGGGTCAAAGTTTAAAAGCTGAATATTCCTTAATATGTAGCTACTGATGTATATTACTTGTCACTTAGGTCATATATGCTACGAGCTGATCAGGCGAAAGGCTTGAGAGCGCAAATGCTCCAGTTTTTGCCAAAAATCCCCAATTGCCAAAGCATTATTTTGACAAAACTCTATAGCCACATGCCAAATAACTAGACAACTGGTTAAAGCACTCCAGATAAACAAATTCCCCAAATTTTGTAAAAATTCAAACCATGCAACTGATCTATTTTCTTCTCTTCTGAAAATGCTTTGACCACAGATGGTACATGCCAAATATCAATTTGAGCTATTAAAACATTTATGAGAAACTAATGCACAAGATTCTTGTTGAAAATTCAAGATGGCAACCAAATAATGTGATCAAATTCCTTTTCAGCTGTCTGAAAGAGTTAGATGTAGAGAAGCACCATGGCAAACTTCACAATACATAATCCAAAATGGTGGCATAACCAAGAGACCTTTGACAAAAATTTCAAACTTTAATGTGCTTTACATGTGGACGCTAAAAACTAAATATCAGATCAATGTGTTCGAAGAATTTTTCCACCGGTTTGGCCATTTTACGGAGAAAAAAAACATATGACAGAAGTCACATGACCACTAAGATGTTATTTGTTAATTCTACTGCACACGAGCTGTAGTACATGGCAAATAAAAATTCATATCACCTAGATCCTCAGAACGTGGTCAAATTTGAATCAAATATGGCTGGCAAATAAGTGGACCAATCAAAATTTGGATTCTAACAATTGATCAGCAAAGTACAGTATAATATTGATTTAGTAGACAGAAACCAACAAATAACCCAACAACACCCCCTCAGTCTTCACATGCATTTATTTCATAATTGGATCTACCGGAAACCTAACACATATAAGCAAGTGCAGGCATTGTAGATGCTGCAAAATTACCAGTATACTCAACCTATTCAAAATATCAAATATAGTACATTCTCAATACAAATTCATTATCAAACAGAAACTGCTATAGTAGGTAAAAAATAGATAATGTACACAGGAGAAATATCTCAACATATTTGTTACCAATTATTCATCTGTCTATACATGTTGTATATAAACTGATGCATGTCCTACTCTATTACAATCATTTGTCATCTATTTCAGGTTGAAAATACACATACAGTTCTGACAACGTCTACAAAGATGAGGGAATTTTAAATATGACCACTTGAGGGCACCATGCAAGACTACCGGTACTTCAGTGTCAAGAGTAAAGGGTTCCCCTGTTAAGACAATTGTGGTACAGTTAAAATTATATAAGAATCAAGTGTACACATTTTGTGAATGCGTTTGTAAACTACTTTTTTTTTCAGGTGATACAAACATTCAGGCATGATTATAATACTATGTGTAAAAATGAAGGCATTTGCTATGTTTTGTAATAACAAAACGACAATTCACAGAAATATAGTATAATATGCACAATGTATGTGCAATGAGTGTAAAGCCTGACAATGCCTCTTGATCTTTCAGTGACAAAATTCACTTCTGAAATTGTCCAAAATGTTGAAGCTTGTTGATGCATGTTGCCAATGTACATATTATACCTAGTCTGTTAAGGCTCATGACTTACCCTTCAGTAGTCCAAATGGCAATTTTATTCATCTCTAGCTATAGGACTACCCCTATTGTTTTCATTATTAACAGTTTGTCATTAGAAAAACAACATTATCATAAAGAAAAAGGAAAATATCGATTCCAGTAACTTGAACGATAACTGATAAAGTTTAACCATAAAACACAGTATTCAAGGTTCTATGAATAACACATATTCACTCCCAATTTTAGGGAGGCGTAAACAAATTCAAACAAAGATGCAACATCTATTTATTAGAGTCCTGTATTTGCTGTTTATGCCACTATTGGCCATGTGAGTTATTGTTATGGTCATATTTGTTATTGGAAACACTCACTCCAAAGTATGGATTATGGGATAGACCACCACAATTTGTTTGCGTCTGCAAATCATACTAAGAACTTGTGCAATTTAAAGGGCTGACCAAAAGTGTGGCGTTATATCCCTAATTCACACTTATGAGTGTTTCTTAATTATACCACGAAAAATTGAATGATCCAGTGATTGGCTGCATTGGCAGTACACAACCCAAGTTAATTTACATAAATACAAATGTATTATACGCTTTGTCTTTCGCTCATGAATAATTCTAAGCATACTACTAGTACTCGACATTGAAGTGACCCATTTTGCACCTGTTTTTCCTGAAAACCTCCTCAACCACAATAGCTCAATCGTTAGAGACTTTACCTGCTGTGGTTGAGGTTGGCCAATATTTTCAGTCTCTTCTGCATCAAGTCGTCAACTTCAGACATTGCACCATGACTAAAAAGCTGCAGACTTTGTCAAGGTACAAGGTTTGATTTATAATTAATTTATAACAAACCAGCATTGCATTAGCTCAGTTTAATATCTGTATCTAACTTCTAAACTGGTACTATATTAGCCACATAACTTGTAAACTGTTGTAAATCAGGCTTAAAATAGTGGCGAAAACTATGTGACTTTAGTCAAGGTGAAATGGCTTGGGTGGGTCTATTAGAGATGTACTTCTAATAGAGTAAAAAATAGCAGTACATAGGAATATATATTATGTATCAGAAACCCAGCATTACAGCTCTACAAAAGCAGGTACTGTGTAGATTACTTGTAGAGATTCGGAAAGAGTTAGGTGACATAGGGAGACTGAATTAATAATTCTAAATGAAAGGAAACATAAAACAAACATTGTGAAAAATAGAACAGAAACACTGAAACACATTTCGCTAGATCATGACAAGAAGGGTCAAAATCCATTCAGATAGGAGAGAACTGAGGCAGGACCAGTCAAAATCCATTCAGACAGGACAGAAACGACGAGTCAAAATCAATACAAGAATGCACTGCCACAAATACATACTGATATTCATGTATAACAAGAAATTAAAACTTGATTAGGAAAAAATGTCTGCTATATTGAATCATATCAATGAACAAGTATAAATGACCTTTGCATATCTTATCAAAGTGTTCAGACTTGAATCGAACAATGTCTGTCGAAGAACAATGCAATGCACACAATTTACAGTTTAGGACCTTGCCCTAGTTCATTGCTTGTAGATGCTGTCTTAAGTTCAACTGTTAGTTGACAAATATTTGATTTGTTGTCCTAACTTAAAATAATTAAAAAAAAATTTGTAATATGTACAGAAGAACTAATATTTGTCTGTATTGCTTATTGGATTATCATCTAGTATCTGTATCTCACTGGTGATCGTGAATGTGACCGAGATCTTGAACTTGAGCTTGAACTTGAGCTAGAGCGAGAGCTGGTGCTGGAGCTCGACTGTGACCGTGACCGCGAACGATGGCGCTTACGAGACGAAGCATCTCGACTGGAACACAAATCTGATAAGAGAACAAGCATGGTACAGTCCCAGTTAGTTATTAAGTTTAGTATATATAGTTCTGTTTATAGTAATATAGTTTGAACATAAACATGTCCAGAAGCCGATGCCATGTCGGCCATTTTGAATTGAATCATTAAAGCAATACATCTGTATATGATGTATAATGAGTATATAAAATTTGAGCATAGTCGGTCAAAGCATGTCAGAGTTATGGCTCTAAAACCGCATTCACTAAAACAAAATGGCCATCAGTCGACCATTTTGAATCCGATCTGAAATCCAAAATGACATGCATCAAGGTGCATACAAATTGATGTGCATATGTACAATATTATGTATGATGTACGTGTGAAGTTTGAATGTAATCAGTCGTGGCATGTCTAAGATATATACACACATACATGCATGGACGCACACACAGAGGCCATTTTTGGACGGTGTCTGAACAGGGACTAATAAATAATGAAGTCAACAAACAAGTTCTGCCCGGTGAAGACACACATATAGCTTTGACACAGGTGATTCATACACCAAAGATGTCGAGTTTCAAGTTCAATTGTGAAAGTGTTGGTATATATTAATTACAGGTACAGAAATGAGTGCCATTTACCTATCTTCCAGTGAAAGCAACTTATTCATACAAGACATGCAGTAGTTTCTATTTTTGAAAAACAATTCAAACTCAATTAAGCAAGACAAGTCATTGAAAATGACACAGTCCCCGTTAAATTTTTGAAAGTTCTCTTTGTGCTCGTCATATTAAAGCAGAGGGGTTGTCGCGAGCTTGAGTTCCAAGTGGCGTATACAACAGATTGTTTATTTACATCAAAACACATGTTCCATGTAGTAGTAATATAACCAAAAATAAAAACAGCCGTTATTCGGCCATCTTTGATCTGATTATGAAACACACTGATATGTATGATGCATGTGCCAAATACGAATGAAAATGGTACATAAATTGTGGAAATATAGTAGTAAGGCCAAAAAGTCAGATGGCTGTCAATCGGCCATACTTGACCAGTTTTTGAAACAAATTGTCATGGACATGCATTCTAACATGTATAATCTATGTACCAATGACAACTGACAAAGCATGTCCAAAATACAACATTTTCAAAAAACAAGATGGCTGCTCACCTCTCTTTGGCGAAAGTGATCTTGATTTGCTTCTTCTACCACCATAGTCCATATCTCTATCCCGCTTTTCTCGTTCTCTTCTTCTGATCTTCCTGGAAATCTCTCTCAACTCTTCATCCCTGTCCTGATTGCCAGATAAAATATGCATGACAAATGTTTAACAAATTGATTACTCATGCCATATATGTACTTCCAAAACCTTAGTCGTAACTGAGTGAAACAAGCTCTGCAGGATTTTTCTTTAAGTTATGCACGGTTCAATAATACTTGAATTATCCCAAATTGAGTGACTTGAAAATGACAGTTATAAGTAATAGTAACATCTTAACAAGCTGTGTTCAATCTGTTAGGACCTATAAATGAGATATATAGTAGGCAATATTTGGTATAAGCAACTATTCAAAATAGCTAGACGTTTTAGACGATTCCCCTTTTTCAGTATCATATGCAAAGATTGTAGGAATTAATAGAACACAAGAACGTTGGTATGTCTAGTATGTGATAGCTGTTTAGCAAACAATCTCCCTGTCAACACACTAGAGCTAATGTGGCAGCAAACAATCTCCCTGTCAACACACTGTAGAGCTAATGTGGCAGCAAACAATCTCCCTGTCAACACACTGTAGAGCTAATGTGGCAGCAAACAATCTCCCTGTCAACACACTGTAGAACCAATGTGGAAGCTTCCAATGAAATGCAATAAACATAATTCCTGATAATGCAACTACTGTGATTTACATATGTGGTCATAAACCCTTTGCATGGCCTTTACCCAAAGACTGTAAAATCACACATGACTGCAACTGTGGCATGGGTGACCAGCAGAATTACATGTTTGTAGACATGTGCAGTGACAAAATATGAGCGTACCATTCTTTCTTGTACCTTCTCATCTATTTTAATTCGTTCTTTCTTCTTGTCAGCTTTATCTAAATAGAAAAAGAAATATTTACTAGAAAAATCAGAAATCACTGCCTCAAGAAGTAATCAAACACCGCTTTTTATCAAATACATAACATCAGTGTAAATTCAAATTACAAACTATATTTGACATGTTTGAAAATGGATCTTCGATATTTTTTGAGTCATCACAATAACACAATTTCACTGCCAAAACACAAAAATTATCTGCAATACTCACATTGTTTGTTAAGCGCCAGCTGCATTCTTTTTTTCAGTTTTTCTTGTGGGGTAAGTTTGGGCTGTAAAAAGATGCAACTACTATTAATATACAAACTATTGAAAATACTATACTGCCTGGCAAAAGCTATGAAAAAAAACAGTTAATAATAATTGAACTGTGATACAGTGCATGTAATCAAATAATAGCAACAAAATGCTCGATAATTAAAACAGAGCTATATGGAGTATGTACTTATGAGAAAACACATGTTAAATAATTCTGTTATTGTATACCAAAAACACAATACCCAGAGTCAATAACATATGACAATACGATTAAATCATCTTAACTAGATTTTCACAACAGTTTTGGATCTCCTTCCAAATAAGAGTTTTTACAATTTACGCAATGCAATTAGAATATGAGATTCTTACTGACTTTGGATGCAGCACTAGCACTAGAACTAGCACTAACACTAGGGGCTTTACCAATGCTTGCCTCGGATCTAGAAAACAAACAAATACAAATAATCAACAAAGGGCAGATATTCAGAGGGAAGATTCCAATAAACTAATAAAAACTGACAGAACGTATGAGATATGTTTTGAAGTATGGAATGCTCACTTACACTTTTAATCTGGCAGTGAGCTCTTCTCTTTTTTTAAAGACTGATTCCTTTTCTGCACTTTTTATCTTACTCCGAGGTTCTATGTCAATTTTGCGATCAATCCTAGCCTTGGTTTCTGAATATGAAGACTTACGGTATCGGTCATATGCATGGGAATAATCATGTCTATCTTTAGAACGGGATCGTGAACGACTAGAGTGGGAACTAGATCGTGAATATCTTTTTACAGAACGTATCGGCGAGCGCGACCTAGTGCGCCGATGTCTATCCCGCGAGCGTGACCTACTATGTGAACGATAAGAATTTCTTCTATGATAGCTGTATCTATCATTTGGATGACGCCGGTAACTGTCGCGTCTCTCGCGTGACCGTGATCTGGAATATCGTCGATTTCGATATCTATATCGATCTCTTTCTCTAGATCGTGATCTTGATCTTGAACTATAAGATGAGCCAGAGGAACTACTGCTACCATTCGACTTAGTTCTTTTTCTATATGAAAAGAACAAATATTTACAAGAGTTAGTAAGAATTTTTTTTTTTTTTTCACACAACAAAAAACTGTAACAGATGCTTGAAAACCAATTCAATCCCACAAAGATTGAATTAACAATTTGGTGAACTGATAAGAAAGTGGAACAGAAATTGTTTATCTTTATCACAAAATAGGACCCCATTCTTAACCAAAAATTTATGGTCCAACTCTAAAACTCAGTCTGAGTCTGAGAATTAAATTTTGGGTGATGTCGCTTTTTTCTATTAATTCTATCTGTGAAGGCTTTCAGCAGGCAATGTGTTAATTAAAACAAATAAATAAATATTAAAATTCAGCAACATGCATCAGTAGTAATGATGAGTATATCTGTGATAGACATCAGCAACACAGAAATATTCATAAAACTACAATAATCCATTCTTTTAAGTATTCTCAACAAGAGAAAATCTTTGAATGAGAGCACAATGTTTAGGCTTCTACAAGTCTAAAATCAACAAACATGTATCCCTTGTCATTACCCATCATTTATTTATAAAAAACGAGATAAAGACATAAGAAAAACAAATAATCCAGAGTGACAGCTTAAATTCTCTTTAGTAAAAGTGTTAATTCTATCTGTTTTCTCCTAACTTGTTTTGTACAACATTTCTAACGTATACCATGGTAACATTTCTTATATGCCAGTATGTATGTAAATTTTACCATGTTTCAACAAAAGAATTGAGAAAATCATCACTACATGCTCATTCAGCATTTGTGGGATGCTCATTATATAGGCATTTTGTTTGTTTAACGCAATTGTAACAATGGCTATGGCTATCCATGAAACCGATGTTGCAATATATACAATTTGTTGCCATTCAAAGCCTTACCTTCATCAGCATGGATTCTCACATAATGTTCATATATTATTTGGGATTTGCAATCACAGTAAAAGCCACCCACATCATCATACAGTTGTATTTTGGCTTATCCCTATACCCAGCAGTTCTACAATGTTAAACAAGACGAATAAACAAAAAGACACCGACCGGGATTTGTAACGAGATTCAGTAACTTTTTCTTGCTTCTCTTTGGTTTCTGGTCGATTCATGGGTCCAATGATAGACTGAGTTGTCTTTGGCTCGTCCTCATCACCACCAAAGCTAGTAATGAATTTCACTTCACCTGCATTCTCAGGTGTTCGTGAGCGGCTACGTGATGATGACCTTGATGTCGAGCGATGGTATGGCTGATATGTAGGACTATCTCTTCTGGCATAGCTAATCAAATGAGAAAACAAATATTCAGTACTATGCAGAAATTTCTGATTATTTTAAAGAATTCACAACGATGATTGAAGACAATCTGTACAGATTCATCCAGATTTATCTCTCTCCTATTCCTTATATGGAAAACTAGCCAGACTTACTGCAAAGAATAAGTTTGATGAATGTCTATTTGCAACAGATATGATATTTATGCATTTTAATGAGGTCACTTGCCCATATATGCTCATTAAATACAGGGATTGCGTTAACGCGGAATTACGCGTCCGGGAAGCATAGTTTTTCTGTGGGACGCATGAATTTTTCAACTGGTGAGTCCCTGGGACGCATCCGGTAAGCACACGTCTCGGTCGTATTATGATAGGTCTAAAGGCATTGTGTGCATTTGCGATGCCATTGTC